GGTGCAGACCGAGCTCCCCCTCATTCCTAACCCACCCCCTGGTTGAAGGTGCCAGCGCCAAGGGCCATGGAGGCGGGGACCAGCCCGTGCCCCCGCGGACTGAGGAGCAGGGCAGGGCGGGCCCCGAGGGCCCCGTTTCTGTCCTTCCTCTGGCCTGTGGGCGGACATGGAAATGGTCCCCTAACCGCCGGGGAACCTCTGGTTGTCAGGGAGAGTGGGGCCTGGCCTGTCCCTAGCCCTCCCAGGGTGGCGCCCTGCCCGTCCCGCACCCCCAGGAGTGCCAGCCCAGCTCCCAGTGAGAAGGGGTGGAAGGGCAGAGGGGGGCGGCCCACCCCTCGGGAGGGCGGAGGCTCCTTGGAAAAGCCAGAAAGAGAACCTCGCCCGGCCGGGTGGCTCAGTGGGTGAGCGTCGACCTATGAACCCGGAGGTCACAGTTCCATTGGTCGGGGCACATGCAGGGATGCGGGCTCGGTCCCCCGTGCGGGGCGTGAGGAGGCAGCGGATCCATGACTCTCTCATCACTGATGTTTCTATCTCCCTCTCCCTTCCTCTCTGAAACCAATAAGAACATATTTTTAAAAAAAGAAAAGAAAGAGCATCTTTTCCTTTTGTGTCCAAAGGTCTCGTAGGCAAAACGTATCTCAGGAAACTGGGTCTGAACCGCGGGGACGGGTGGTGTGTGAGGGGAGGGACGGCTGGCTCCCGGCCCCGAGGAGTGGTGAGCACTGGGTGACGAGGCGTGGCCCCCGGCCGTGGGTGCACCTGGCAGCCCACGCTCTCCCTCACGTGTCCGTGTGGCTGGACGCCCAAGAAGCAGGTGGTGGCTCAGGAAAATGTAGGCAGAAATGACCCCCCACCCCACCCCCCAGCCTGGCTGGCCAGGTTTGGACAGAGGTCAGAGGTCAAGCTCGTGGATCTAGACTTCAGGACCCCCGAGGGCTCGTTCAGCGCCCACTCCTGGGCCAGCCCGCAGGGCTTGCTGGGGCCTGGGCCTGGGCGCCGGGCACTGCCGTGGCTGCTGCCCTGCCGGCGGGGGA